CCTCCTGCATGCAAAGCATGGCCTTCTGCCCCTTGATCTTTCCACCCACTGGATATAAAGTGTAAAATACTTATTTCTTGCAGTGTGTTTCGCACATGCTAGAAAATGACCAAATTTGCAGGAAACACAAATAATATGAAAACTCTGAAGAAAAAACAAAACAAATCTATAGGGATCTTAGAATGGTCAGACTCAGATATTATTTATTTTGATTTTTTTCAGACTCTGATTTTAAAAGCTTGTTTATTGTACATAAAGAGGGGTTGGAGCAGTAGTCCAGTGGGTAGGAGGTTTGCAGCATGCAGCAACCTGGGTTCAGTCCCTGGGATCTCAGATGGTCCCTCAAGCTGCCCAGCAGTGATCACTGAGCACAGAGCCAGGAGGAGGTCCTGAGAACCTCTGGGTTTGACCCCCAACCCCAAACCCAAGGATAAAAAAAGCAGTTGAAAAATGTCATTGTAATGAGAGGTTAGTTTGAGATTGTTCACCTGTTGGTAATAGAGGAGAGGGGAAACACATTGACACTCTAAGACTTAGGCTTTTAACTCCTTTATCATTGTTTTCTCTCCCTTTGTGTTAGAAAGCAGGTTCAGATGAAAGGAGTTCCAGATTCGCAGGCATTACAGATAATGGATGTAGACAGATGCTTGTAGCCAGGGTTGGATAATTGTGACCGTTATTGAAATTGTTTTCAGTCAACACAAGCAAAGGAAAACTCTTTAAAAGTTTGGTGAATCGGCTGGAGCCATAGCACAGCGGGTAGGGCATTTTTGTCTTGCACGCGGCCGACCTGGGTTTGATTCCCAGCATCCCATATGGTCCCCTGAGCACTGCCAGGAGTAATTCCTGAGTGCAGAGCCAGGAGTGACCCCTGGTCATTGCCGGGTGTGACCCAGAAAGCAAAAGAAAAAAAAAGTTTGGTGAAGACCAAGGAAGACATCCAGTTATAAATGAAAATGGCTCCTAGCTAGAGATTCTGAAAGTATTGAAAAAAGGAAAACCAGATAAAATTTACGTCAACATACGGAATTTGAAATTCAATATGGCCATAGTTCTAAAATGCAAACTTCCAAAGTTGACATGTGGGACTATAAAATATGAGTTAAAAATACTGGATCAATAATAAGTAATACCTCCATAATAAATACGTAGATCCATTGTAACTTTTCTTACAAAGAGATAATACATTCTGAGTTCAAGTGGTTTCAGTTACCGATTTCTACTCAATATCCAAAAGAAGCAGCAGTTCTCATCTGTAAGTTCAGCCAAAATATAAAAGAAAAGGACTACATCGTGACATGTTTTGAGACCAGAGCGTCTAATGTCCAAACCCAAGAAACACGAGAAAGAAAAAGTGTAGACTAATTTATTTACAAATGTAAGGCTTTTGGTTTTTTTTTTTTTTGCTCCACAACAGATGTGCTCAGGTCTTTGTCCTGGCTCTGTGCTCAGAGGTCACTCCTTACCAGGAGAAACCGTTTGTGGTGATCAGGTTCTAAGTGAACTTGGCTGTGTGCAAGGCAGGCGTCTTAACTCCATACTCTCTCTTCAGCCCTACAAATGTTTGTTTGTTTACTTGAGGTAAAACTGCCTGCTTTAGGAGTGTACGTTTATACCTCTTCAATTGTATCCACTATACCACACCACATTTGCCACAGAGTACTAATAACCGTCCACGATGGTTCAGTGAACCCTTTGCAAACCTCAGGCTTGTGAGAATTCAGAAGTTTGCTTGGCCTTTGTTTTTGTCTCTTATTATCTTTTTTTTTTTTTTTTCACATACCACATGGGTGAAATCACCTGAGGCAGAGTTGCTTTTCCGAGAACTAAGCGCTTTATTGGGAGATGGAATGGTTGTATGAGTGATCATTCTGTCTGACTGTCCCCCTTTCTGTCTGACTGACCATTCAGCATGATACCCTCTAGTTCTGTCCATTTTGCAGGAAATCGTATGATTTGTTCTAAGATATGCGTAGTATTTCACTGTGCATATATACACTGCAGCTTCTTGATTTAGTCGTCCATAGTTGGGCATTTGGACTCTTTAATGATCATACAAACAAGGAAATTTAATATGATAAAGTATCAGTGAAGTCACCAGATTCCTTTAAACTTTATGGTAAACTGTGGAAAACTTTCATGAATTCTGGAATAAATTGTGGATGATGTACACTTGGATAGTGCTACAGTGGATTGAAAAATGCTGGCAGTTAGTGTTGGAGAAAAAGTGAAAAGTAGGAGCTGTAGTGACAGCAAAGTGGGTAGGGTGTTTGCCTTGCACGCGGCCGACCTGGGTTCGATTCCCAGCATCCCCTAGGGTCCCCTGTGTACCGCCAGGAGGAATTCCTGAGTGCAGAGCCAGGAGTAACCCCTGTGCAACGCTGGGTGTGACCCAAAAAGAGAAAAAAAGAGGAAGAAAAAGTGAAAGTAAATCTTCTATTTCGTCTTTTTACAACATTTTCAAAAATGGTTCAGCACTGTCTTACTGCATTTCTTCAAAATTTTCTTCTTCACCAGCAGTTGTCTGCTTGTCGGAGCAATCCTGTCCTTTGTTGTATCCTCTCTTAGAACCTGCTTCAAGCCTTTCATGGATCTTACTTTGTTTTACTTTTTTTTTTTTGCGTTTTGGGTCACACCCAGCAATGCTCTGGGCTACTCCTAGCTCTGCACTCAGGAATCACTCCTGGCGGTGCTCAGGGACCATATGGGATGCTGAGAATTGAACCCGAGTCAGCCATGTGCAAGGCAAACGCCCTCCCCACTGTACTATTACTCCTGTCCCCTGGTGAATCATCTTTGTATGAATCTTCATGCTGAGCTTGAAGCACTGAAAATCTGAATTATCTTTATGTTCATCACCGTGCTTGTCCACTGCCTGTTTGATTTGAAGTAATCATCAAAATGTCAGCCTTTGAGAAAGAATCAAGTCATAGAACATAGAAGTTTTCTCTGTGGGTATTTCAGGTGTTCTAGAGATAGAATTGAAGGTTCTTTCTTGTAAGTAAGAACCTCGTCTTGCAGAGTTTCTACAGGGTCTGATTGTTACTCTTGTAGGGGAAATTTGCAATTACGTGGAATTGTTGATTTACTTCCGGAGTAAAGTAAGCTGGTAGTAGACTAGGTAAATCGCACCTAGTATTAAACCTTTTATAGGACTTGTGTGGTACACACCTGCAAGTCTCACCACAAATAAACGAGATAGTACGATCTCCTTTTTATGATTAAGACTTAATGTGACTTTTAAATTCCTAGTTATTATTATTTTTATAATCGGAGTGAGAATTACTTAGTGGAGATCTTTGTGTTTTTAGGGTATTTAAATGCTTGCCATAGAATATAAAACTTCAGATTGTTCAAATTGGAAATTGGGTCGAGGAGTCTGGGTGGGAAGGAAGTGCGTCGTTAAAACGGATGACAGTTCAGATTGGGGTAAGGAGGTAGATCAGGTACGATAGGCAGAGGACGTTGACAGGGATAAGATGTTTTGATAAGACTTGAAAGGGATGATACAGGCAGATTTCTGAATTTAAAATCTTGTATAGCACAAACAAGTTCTTAAGTTCTGGGAGTCCCAACTTGGGGTGGGTAAAGTTGTATTCACATCCCTTGGAAGAAAGGGGGCTTTCTTGCTCCTGTATTCTTGTAGACTGCCTATCATTTATTTGCAAATCACTCTGATAAACTGGCAATGCTTAAGAGCTGCTTTGTAAGTTAGAGTGGGGAAAAACTCCTAGCGAGTCCTGGTGAAGCACCCTGGCTTCTTCATTTATGACCATAATAAATTTTAGCAAAAAGTTTATGAAATGATGCAGCAGTGTTGCAGTAATGCAAGAAAAATTGGGAATTTATTAGCATAAGAATCTGATCTTTTTGATTGAATATATAAATTTTCAGTCTTCACAGCCAATCTGTATTCTTATTGACATTAAAAAAATTCTGTCTGAATACTTAAGGTTGTTAATTATTTCTTAAAATTATTGTCCTTTTCATAAAAAGAATTGTACGTTCAAGATAGAATAATAGAAGTAAGAGCCGTAGAAATGGGATGCAAGAAGGAAAGTAAGGATACAGACATAAAACAGTGCAGTGAGTGAACGTGATGAAAAGCATGTTCGTACATAGCTACAGGGTGGAGTCTAGAATTGGTGTTTAGTGTTTCAGCAGCCAACCCCCAAGTACAGTGATCTCTGAGCAGTTCTTCTGGAGTAAGTATAGTTTTTATTGTAGGAAAACAACAGAATTTTTCCTCAAGGATTTCGATAGTGGAGGAAATGTAGCATGGTAGCACTGTCCTCCTGTTGTTCATCGATTTGCTCGAGCGGGCCCAGTAACGTCTCCATTGGAGACTTTGTTGTTACTGTGTCTGGCATATCGAATACGTCACGGGGAGTTTGCCAGGCTCTGTGGTGCGGGCGAGATACTCTTGGTAGCTAGCCGGGCTCTCCGAGAGGGGTGGAGGAATCGAACCCAGGTCGTCCAGGTCGGCCGCGTGCAAGGCAAACGCCCTACCCGCTGTGCTGTGGCTCCAGCCCTGGAGGAATGTAGTAAAACAGAAAGGAATCACGTGATGAATAGTTCCATAAACCACTGTTCTTACAAAGAGTTATGTGAAAGAGAATGCAGTCTAAGATTTTGTCATTTTTCCCAGTAAACCCTTAACATTTGTTTAGAATACCTCAGCACAGTACTTGCTTTAGTATGATAGTCCTATACTCACTTATATTATTCTATACATTGTTAATATTTATAATTTGTATTACGCATGAAAATTTTGTGCAAAACATTGAGTTATTACAATTTCCAAGCTTGTCAAGAAATTCATGAGTTCTATTAAGTTTTCATTTCATCTTATTTTTAAAAATTTTAATATTAATGTGAGAAAATTAAAGGGAAAGGTTAATACTACAGGAAGTTGAGCTATGTATTTACAAATAATTTAAAGAACTATGTATGAATTCAGATGAGCACTCAAATGATGTATGGTGACTCTTCTTTTCCAGTTTAATTTCGTTGGGAGAATCCTTGGACCGCGAGGACTCACAGCGAAACAGCTGGAAGCAGAAACAGGATGTAAGATAATGGTCCGAGGCAAAGGCTCAATGCGGGATAAGAAGAAGGTAAGTCTTGAAAACGGGGAAGTTTTCATATGAGTTATTTACGTAGACTTTTTCATTCTAACAACAAAACGTCCAGCCCTGTTAAGAGTACTGTTCTTGTCAGAAAGTTGAACTTTTTAAAGATACTGTGAAATTTTTTTCTTGTGAATTGCCATTTTTTTACTTTGCCAACTAAATCTGTCACTACATCCTTTGTGGCAGCTTAATCTGGTATTTGCATTTGAGAAGGTGCCAATTTAGGAATGAGCATGTTTACATATATTTTATATGTGTAAATATATATAACTAAGAACTTTAGAAATATGAAATGTTTCCTTTGATATTGAAACAAGAACAGTTAAATGCATAAGTTTGGTTGTTTGCTGAATAAATTAGAAAAACGAAAGGACTTAAAACTAGTCATATGCGACTCTTGTTTTATGTTGATTATAAAAGACCCAGCAATTCATTTTAAATACTGTTGTTTTCTGAAGGTTTTATTGAAAAGTTTTCTTTCATTTGGTGATACTATAAAGCTGGTCACTTTTGAGTTTGGGTCAGTGTAAAATTGGTCTTACTGAGTTCTTAAAATTCCTTGCATTTTTATTGCCAGAGTTTAAATTTTGAGAAGGATGACTTTTGTTGCACAGTGGGTAGGGCGTTTGCCTTGCACGAGGCTGACCTGGCCGACCCAGGTTCAATTCCTCCGCCCCTCTCGAAGAGCCTGGCAAGCTACGGAGAGTATCTTGCCCGTACGGCAAAGCCTGGCTGGCTACCCTTGATGTATTCGATATGCCAAACACAGTAACTGGTGTCACAATGAAGGCGTTACCGGGCCCGCTTGAGCAAAATCGATGAACAACGGGAGGACATGGACAGTGACAATGACAGTGCATTGAAGAGATTATCAACTGCTGTATCTGTTGTTGGCTCGTATGTGTTGAATTGCTTTGCAGAGCTTATGGAAGGAGTGGCTTTATTTTAGTGTACTACTTTTCTGAGCTCTTCCTTCATCTCATGAAAATCATACCATAAGCTGCCCGAATCACAAATCACCATTATCATCTCTCCCCCAGAGACAATTCATGACCTCATACCAAAAGACTGGGGGCAGAGAGTCTTTAGTAACATTGATCATATTTTACTTACAACTGGTTCATGTCTCAGCTAAGTTTCAAAGTGCTCTAAAACAAGTATGTGAGTTTTTCCTGAGAAATTTTTGAAGGTTAAATATAAAAACAAAGATTTTAAAAAAAAGTCTTTTCCAAAACACATAAGCATGTTCTGAATCATCTGAATGGCAATCTTGGATTGCCTGATAGGTTTTTTTTTTTTTTTTTTAAATTTTTGCTTCACACCACACCTGGCGATGCACTCAGGAATCACTCCTGGCTCATGCACTCAGGAATCACTCCTGGCGGAGCTCAGGGGACCATATGGGATGCCGGGAATCGAACCGGGTCGGCTGCATGCAAGGCAAACACCCCACCCGCTGTGCTATTGCTCCACCCCCGGATTGCCTGATAGTTTTAACTTCCCTGTTTATACTTAGGGTTGCATCTCCACAAAATAATGCTAATTTAATTGCCTAGGGACAATGATGTAAAATCTGTACAACTAAAAAATAAATACATGTTCAGCAAAAGATTATTGTATGCACCATGGATGGTGATGGCCTAAACTTGGAATTATGTAATGAGATTTGAATTCTTTTTCACTTGTGTCGGATATGTAGTTTGAAGGTCATTTTCTGCTCACTTTGGCAGAAGACCAGTAGTGTGAGGAGTGAACTCTAGCCAGACTGCTAGGGTTCGAGTCTTGCTTCCATCACTTAGCTACCCTGTGACCTGGGACAGATCAATTTTGGTGCCATGTTTAAGAGAACGTCAGTGACTTCTCATGATGCTTATGAACATGAAATTAATTACAAAGCACCTAAACACAGTGTTTGGTGGGGAGTAAATGATCATTGAGTGGTCGCTTTTAATAGTACTTAACATTATTCCATCGTATTTTTATGCTTAAGTTGATCTGGAGGGCCGGTGAAGAGCACATGCTGGCACTTGCAGCCCCTGGGTCTGCTCCTCGGCTCCTTCTGTGTGGTTTCCCGAGCATTGCCGGCTGCAGTCCTGGGACTCCTGGCATTGCTGAAAAAGCAAACCCGAATCTGGTATCACGCGGGCAATATAATCGCACTTCAGGCTTTGGAAAGAACATTGTCTGGCCGTTCTGTGAACTTGAAGTAGCCCATGTTCTCTTTGTTTTTGTTTCTCTTAGGGTTGATGCATCAGTATTCTGTCTTGTCCACTTTGTTCTTTTCCTAAAGTAGTAGTTTATGGATTTTATTTTCAGTCTGTACTTCTGTCTATAGAATGCAAGAAAATCAAAAAAAATTTGATCACAGATGACATTTTCACTTTTATTAAAAAGACCAGAGTTGGAGACGTTAATTTGACTGTCCTACATTAGGTATTATAGAATGTGGATTTTGTAGGAATTTTATTGTTAGTTAATAAAAATGTGTTACGCAGTCTTACCTCTTGTATGCATATATAATTGCTTCCCAGTCGTCCTGGCTTGTGATGTAGTTGTCTAACTCTGCATCTCTGAGCTTTCAAAGTTACAAGTAGGGCCGAATGATGGTCCTGGGGTTGGGCGCCTGCCTTGCACATGCTCATTTCAGTTTCGTTGCCGGCACCGCCTGTGGTCCCGGGGCCCCGCCAGGTGCCATCCCTGAGTGCAGAGCCAGGAGTACCCTGAGCACTGTAAGGTGGAAAAGGAAATAGAAGCTAAAAGTATTAACAGAAGAGAGTAAGTAAAATTAGTTCTTAGTGAAAGTGGAGACAAGTGGGAAGTGCTATTGTTGCGTATTATTCGGAGCAAAAGCATGTTAAGCAGATGGAGGCGAAAAACTCCTGTTATAAGTAATAGACTGGTATATTTTGGGGAATTTCAAATGAAAAACTTTCAGGCTTTAAGCGTGTCTGCAGAGTTGCCAATTTTAAAGCTAAAAAGTTGTAAGTTATAATGTATCAGTTGCCTCAGATGTTCTAGAGATGCTGTTTGCTGGTCTTTCTTCTTCTCGAGACTGGTACTTTGAGGAGAAGCCCGTCTATTCTGTGAGGTCTTTCTGTTTTTTGTTTTTTTTTTTTTAGCTAGCATCCACACACAGTAGGACCTGGGATAAATACGTAAGAAAGAAATGAATGTTTATATAATAAATGAAAGACATGTCAGGGGCTGGACCTCACCTACAATCTCCACTCCCTTTAAAATGATTTTGTGTAGGGAAAATCATAGGCCTTCTTTCTGTCTTATAATTTGGGACAGATCGAAGGGAAAAAGAGACAGAAATGCATCTATTATACTTTTTTTTTCTCACCTTTCTCTTTCATTGTTGTTATTGTGACCAGTTACTACTAGTTTGAAGGGCGGGAAGGAAGGCAGGGGATCCTGTCACTGTTCATTCTCTTGCATTGATATTTCTGCAGTATTGATGGGCCCAGCAACAATAGCATTGAGTTTTGGATGTCAGTGCCCAATGGAACTGTACTGCGTAAACTCGTAGAAGTCCGCCAGAGTGAGAACCTCAGTTGCACTCCTTGAAATCCTGTAATCCGAGTGTGTCAAAGTTGCCTGCCCTTGCAGATGGCAGTGCTGGTATGTTGTAGGCCATAGCTGGATGCGAGTGGAAGCCAGTGTCTGATTTCTAATGAGTGTATATTTTGTATCAGACTTTAAGTATTTTACATGTGTTCTTTTAATCATCTCCTGTTTTACTGTTTCCATTTTGTAGAGAGAAGAGCCTCATAAGACTTGACTAACATGCCAGAGTGGTAGGCTGAAAAATTGCAGTCAAAATTTTATCTGAAATTCTCTTTAATAGTATACTAACTTTGAATCATTAGCCACTTCTAAGATTGATAACAGCTTCAGAAATACGAGGACTTGCATATTGAACACTTTGCTCATTGGCTGTGAAGTCAGAATGGGTCTTTTTTAAAACATTTCTTGGGTTGGAGGGACAGTACAGCTAGTAGGGCACTTAGCTTTGCGTGGAACTGACCTGGGTTCCATCACCAGCACCACATTTGTGTCCCTGACACAGAGCCAGGAGTGAACCCATAGCAGAGCTGCATGTGGTGCAAAAAACAAAACTTCTCAAGCTTTTTTCTTTATTTCTTCAACCTTCAGGAATAATTTTGAACTTCTTTTTCAATATCTCAATACCTTGATTTCCAGAAGTCCTCTAGAAAGGATTGAATTTTTTGCTTCCCGATGGAAAGCTGTGGCAGGGGCATATCAGAGATATCAAATAGTTATTTTGGGAAAATAAAGTGATTACTTGTAGTTTAGAGTTGAGGGGAGGGACTTTGAGGAAGGGTTGTGGGGAGAGCAAGTCCACTCTTGTAAGCCATGAACAGTTTCATGCATGATCGGATCATTGATAAAGTATTGTTCCATTACAGTATTGCCAAAGGAATAAATGGAATCTAATGTTGGAAATCTGTTAATGTTTGTAGAGACATCTTTTGGCAGATTTTGTCATCTACTAACATTAGCTCTTTTTGGGGAAATTGTGCCTTCTGGAAATTTCTAGTGAGGTTCAGCGCTCTTTGTTTTGGGTAGAGCTCTGTGTTTGAAATGAAGGGATGTGCCCTTGGGATCAAGTGGCTATTCTCGCTGCTAAAACCAAAGGTGAGATGGTGTCAGTTACTTTTATAATTTGTGCAGTGTCTTATGAGACTGGGCAGCAACCTCAGGAGCTAGTGTTACTCTTGTAACAAGAATGAAAGCTTAAAAGAGGTGATATAAGTTGTCTACCTCTATTTCTATTTCTCTCGTTCTAATCGGTACATCTAGTAAGTATTCAAGTAAACGTAAACATGTCTTACGGAAATTCAGATTCAACTGTCCAAATCATTCTCAGAAGAATTTGAAAATCAGATCGACTGTAATAAGGTCTTATTTATTTATTTATTTTTGCTGGGTGATGGGTGTGTACCCAGTAGTGCTTAGGA